GGAAAGTAAGGTACCGTCAACGAAACCACCTTTATTTTTGACACTGAGAGCCATGACAACAGCGCGGGACCAGCTGACATAGTTGTCACCGTTGAGGAGTTCGGCGACGATAAGAGCCCCGGGATTGTCGCTTGCATGGAGATAGAACGGGCTAGCCGGATCGTCATTAGGGTTTTGAGCAGAGGCCATTGCGATTCAACAGAAAATAAGCAGATCTAAGAGGTGTAGATCAACAGAAAAGAGATCTCAGAGAGGGAGATCAAACGACAGATTCAAAGAACCCTAAAAAAAATTGTAAATCGATGGCGAGAATCGAAGAAATCTCAGAGACGGAGACTCGATTTGAAGCAAAAACTATGTGCGGAAGCGAAAAAACATCGGATCGATGGCGATTGATACCATATTAAACCAGAAATTAAACAATGAACTGAAAGATTTGCATTAAACTGAAAGATTTCTCAAGATGAACAAAGAGGAGAGTTTAGCTGCGGAAAAGAAAAATGAAGCAAAGTGAATGAGAGAGAAAGGGAGCAGCCCTTTTATATTTAGGGTTTGCTCATGGACATAAAAGTAAATTACAATTGCCTATAGTTGCTACAGCAACTTTAACACAATATTGCTAAATTACAATTGCCTATAGTTGCTACTTTAGAAATAGCAACTTTAACACAAAATACTAAAGAATAGGAATACATAATGTTAATACTTAATAATGCATTTACACTTAGTTCTCGTAACTCAAGTTGTCGTTTAAGTTGGCTAAGTAGAATTAGTTTGGAACAAATCCTAATCCTGAAACGGATCTGTCCCAAATTGCCATTCTTAGAGCATCTCCAATGGAACATTGTCCATTTTGTGTTGAATAGCATGGAGAAAGGAAATTAAAAAAATGTGTCTCCAATGGTAAGCATTAATTGTGGTATAAATTGTGATGTGTAAAATTGTAATTGGTTGAAAAAAAAAAGACAAATTAAATAAATAATATAATATATTGTGGAAGTTGTTTAGAATGACTTCTACATCTAGAAGTCTTTCTAGACATTTACCATGCCACATTTGATTATTTGTGCCATGTGGCAATAGAAAAGAAGAATAGAAGAGCCATTGGAGATACTCTTATCCCGAGAGTCCTGCCCACGTTTCAAGTCCAACCCAATCAGTCCACGCACTTCACCTACATTCAATCTCCAGCACATCTTTATCTCAAGACCTAAGATTACAGGTTTCGTTGCAGCTCGGAGGTAAAATCTTCACAATCTCTTGTTAAATAGAGATATATATATATCCCTTTATTTGATGCATATTTACATTTGAATATCCTCATCTGTTGTAGATCTGCGTTTGGTCACAGTCCAAACTCCAAAGATTGTTGCTCGCTTTGATGGCTGGTAGGCTTGTCAACCTTGATTCCAAGTTCGGAATCACAAAGGTAAAATCTTTATGACCCAAAAAGGTGAAATTTGAGTTGAAATCGAAAAAAGGTGAAATTTTTTGAGTCTGAAACAAAAAAGAGTGAAACTTGAGATTTTTTGTTTAACAAAGAGTGTGAATTGTGTTGTATGAACTTGTTTCAGTGTTTGTATGACCAAGAGTGTCATTGTCTATCAACTTGAAAATCCTGTATCTGCTTTAACTTATTTCCATAGATCTATTTTATGTGTATAGTTTATCCGTATAGAATTAACAAGCAAGAACGTGTTTTTTTTTTACTGAGTTCCACATGCAAGTTGTTGATTATTGCTTGCATTCTTATTGGGTTATTGCCATGTTTGTTTGATAGTGTGTTAAGAGATACCATGATGATGATTTTATAAGTCTGTTGCCTGATGACATTCTTCTTGATATCCTATCTTCCCTCCCATTGAAAGAAGCTGGCCGCACAAGTGTTCTTTCATCTCGCTGGAGATACTTGTGGAGTTACACCTCTTATCTCAACTTTGATGACTATAGCACCATGGAGAAGATTATCCAGGACCCGGATCTTTGCTTAGTAGAGAGGGAAAGGGAAAAGTATGTAAGGTGGGTGGATTCGGTTCTCCAATCACACAGAGGATTCAGCTTGAAAGAATTTAGAATATGTTTTACTTTAATCCATTCACCGTCAATTACAAAGTGGCTTGAATTTGCTTTTGAGAGGCACATCGAAAAGTTGGAATTGAACCTTAGAGATGGTGAATATATTCATGGCCCAGATGAAACTTACGTGTTTCCTCAAGAGTTGTTACGGGACAATAGCAGAATTTTCAACTATAAAACCATAAAAGTGTTGTGCTTAGACTGCGTTAATGTCTCTGGTGAAGCTATCGAGTTTCTCTTACGTTACTGCCCATTACTCGAGCAGTTAGTTGTCTGTTTCTCCGAATTATTGTCCAGTCTTGAAGTTTGTGGACCATCCCTCGTGTTAAAGCATTTGAAGATATGGGACTGCAAATATTTGAAATCCTTAAGAATATCTGCTCCAAATCTTACTACGCTTATACTTGATAAAATAGAAGGCATCTTGCTTGAGGATGTTCCAATGCTTCTTGACGTTTATGTGGCCTTTGGAGACTCTCTACCTGATTCTATGCATGTACAAAGGCTAGTTCCCACACTGCTTTGTTGTTTTTCCCAATTGGAGATTCTCACCTTGAACATTTATGGGAGGAAGGTAAGCTGTCTTTCTTATTTTGTTTACATCCTATTGATGGTAAAGTAAATATAGCATGGTTAATTTCTGGCTTTGCATTATAAAACATAATAATAGAGCCCTATTGCGGATTTGCCAACTGTTAAATTTGGTTGCTCACGCAATACACGAATGGTTGTCAAACCAGCAATAGATTCATTGTTTGAAGCCTTATTTGGTTGTATACAAAATTTTGAGTTCGATATGTACAAAAAAACAAACTATATAATTTATAACGCTAGCATCCTTTGAAATTTGCATTTCATTACTTTAGCATCCATGTTAATTTTTTAATAAATGTCTTGTGACGACTTTTTTCCCACATGCTTGCTTTCTTAGTATTTTGGTTATGTAAAATTTGCCAATAACCATTTTTGTATGAGAACAATATTATAAATTATTTAGAGCTTGTTTGGAAACACTTCTCAAAAGTCCATTGGGATAAGTATTCATGTTTGGTGCTAATTTTAAGAATGGACTTATGGATAAGTTGTTTCTCCGAAAGTTCCATTATACAGAAGTAAAGGATGAGGACTTCTGGACAAGTCTATTATTTTCCATAAGTCCATTTAAGATATGGACTTCTCCGAAAGTGCACCAAACCAAGCACTTAAGATAATCTTTTAATAGTTTCTGACTGAACTATCTTTTGGCATGTCATGTAATCTTTTTGTTTAGGACCTGAAATGGGACTATTTTTCTTTTTCGAAAGATATTGAAAGCTACAAATATCCATAAATATATTTAAAGTTTGAGCAGGAATTGTGAAATTGTGAGAAGTTGAATAATTTTTCAAAAAGTAACTCAAGTGGAAGGTATTTAAAGGAAGGCCCAGTGAGCCTGTATATGTAACTTACCAGTTGATATCTTTATTTATTGTTATTGCAGGAGCTTCTATCAACGCCCGATTTCCCTGTGATGCCTAAACTTAAGAAGTTGGTCTTCGTGAAAGTTTTATGTGGAGTGGACTGGAGTCTTCTAGACCTAGCTCATTTTATCACGGCATCTCCCAACTTGCAAGAATTTGAGTTAAAGGTTGGTCTATTCCAAACATGTTTGAAAATATTATTATCCCTACAATCTCGTGTAAACTGGTCATCATTGAATGGCTTTATGGCCTGTATTTTTTTTGTCTTAAATTTTATATGTTAAATTAATGTATGACCTTTATTTTATTTTCACTTATATTTGCAGCAACAAATCATTGTTGCTGAAAGGTCAAATAGAGAAATTCAGAAGGGAGTTGAGCACTTTCCACTGCACCAGCACTTGAATGTTTTTCGGTTTTTAGGTTATTATGGTTGCCCAAGTGATGTTGAACTAGTCAACTACTTGTTGGAGAATTGTCTCGCACTTAAGGAGATCATTGTTGATACCCAACCTCCGGACCCTCTTGCCTATGAGCCAGTGGATCCTGAAGAATTAAAATTGATCGAAATAGCAAAGATTTATGCTAAACAGCAGCTGGAGCCGCTAGTACCTAAGCACATTAGCTTATTTATATGTTAACCTTTTTTGTTTTTGTTTTCTTCTTTTACTCGAGTTTTCTTGGTTATTTATATTAGAACTAGTGTGAGTTATAATCGCTCTGTTGTGATGTTAACTTATATTTTTTTTAGTTAACCCTTTTTGTTTTCTGTAAGAACATGTCAAAGCACAATAAAGGTTGACCTTAACTTTTCTTTATCTATTATTTACACGCGTAATAACAACATATAATTGGTCGTGATAAAAAATATATATTTTTAACGTGTCATTAATGCACAACTCTTATCTAATACTTACACAACAACATATAATTGATCGTGGCTAAGAACATATTTCTTTAATATTATGCCAACGCACATAAAGATTGACCATGATCTTAAATGAAACCCTAAGATTAGAAGTAACTGGTGTTCTGGAACTTAAATGGAATCTTAAGATGGATCTTTTTATAATATGATAATTTACTGAGGCAGTCAGACAAATGAGCTGTTGTTTTAGAGGATGCTTGGATATAAATCTATTCAAAAGAATCTAATCATATTTAACTCAACCTCACTACTTTCAATATTATCAATATAACTAAATAATATCAATCAATCATTCTTACACACCACATCAACTTTAATTCACTATTCATCCACTCGCATAATTTTAACTAAAAAATCACTTCAAATCATCTCTCTCCTACTTTTAAACCAAATCACCTTTAATTATTTTATTTTAAATATTATTTCAATATACCAACTATCAACTAACCATACTACCTTTTCAAAATTAACCAAACCAAACCAAAAAATACAAACAAATCCAAAAATTTTTATATCCAAGCATATCATTTAAACATTGATTACACTTTATTAGTTAAATAATATTCACTAATATTTCTATATTTTTTTATACAAAAAGACTGACCTTGACTGTTAAATAGAACCCAAAATCAGAAGGAACTGGTGCGCTGGAACTTAAGAAGAAGTCTAAAATGGATCTATTTATAATATGATAATTTATACGGCAGTTGGACAAATGAGTTGTTAGTTTATCATTTTAATATCGATTATACTTGATTAGCTAAATAATATTATAGTTTTTATGTTGTTTAAAAGAACCTTAAACATGTATGTTTAAAATATTAAAAACACTAAATTGTTATACAACATGTGTAAGATTATCTAAAATATTCTATATTATTCCTAAAAAATGTGAGGTTACATTTCTAAATTATTTTATAAGTAAAACATGTCTTAAAAAAATTCAACACCCATACATATATACACAACATGTTTAAAATATACAAAATTAAATTATATTATACCATGTTCAACCGGCCTTAATCTTATTTATTCAGCAAAATTATAAAAATAGTTGGTAAATTGGTTGATTCCATGCATAACCCATTTTATTTGGAAGAATTTAGATGAATCGGAAAGAAATTAGATATAAATCTTAGCATGCGATATTTAAGAAGGTAAATTGTTTGTTTCCATGCAATTATTAAGGAAGTTTTTTGCATCATTAATGTTAGATATTTTGTGATAAAGAATTACTATAAATAGGATGTATTTAATGCTAACGGTTTTCTAAAAATAAATTATGTTAATCCTTATTATATATTAATAGATATATGTTCACAAATTATTGTTCCAATTCTTACAACATACCTTTTGAGTCCAAACTCATACTCTATTTTTCAACATTACTTATCAAGTATACTGCCTGCCGGATCGGATAATCTTTTAGAACCTTGGTAATCAAGCTCAAAGGTTTTCAATTGGAAGTTTCACTAAATTGTATATACCATGGTGTAAAAGGACTCATTGTGTCACCAAGACATGGTAGCACTATAATTCGACGATGAACATTCTAAAATCGAGTTGTGCTTCAAATTGGCTGAATTTTGAATATGTTGTTCTCCTGTCATATTTGTATGTTTTGTATAAATTTCATAACTTTTTTGGATTTCGATTGCTAGGGTAATTAATTGTTTGCGTATTTCTGATGAAAACCATTTTAATTATGAAAAATCGACCAGTTGCTGTAAATTGCTGAAAGTTGGTGAGCATGCTCTTTTTATGTTGTAGTACTTAGCATAAAATTTTCATAATTTAATTTGTTCATTGTGATAGGTTTGTAATTAAAATGAGTTTTCTGCTGAATATTGTCAGAATTTTCTTAATTACACGGGACCGGTCACGTGGGCCGTGATAGGTCCGTCGAGCTGGTTAGTCAAAGTTATTTATTGTCGTCCCTACGACGTGATGTGGTCCGCTTTGTGGCCCGATGTCGGATTTGCCAGGTCTCCAAGGGGTAACGACTAACGCGGGCTTGTACCGGCCACTCCCGATTCCTTCCCAGCCGTGGCAGACGATCAGTATGGACTTTGTGTTGGGCTTGCCTCTTACACAACGGGGCTTTGGTTCTATTTTCGTGGTGGTCGATCATTTTTTGAAGATGGTGCACTTTATTCCTTGCAAGCGCACCACAGATGTTGTTCACGTAGCTAGTTATTTTTCCGGGAGATTTACCGTCTTCATGGCCTGCCCTCCGCGATTGTGTCTGACCGCGATACTCACTTTTTTGAGCTAATTTTGGAGGAGTTTGTGGCGTATGGCTGACACCCGTCTCGACTTTAGCAGTGTTTACCATCCTCAAACGGACGGCCAGACTGAGGTGGTGAACCGTTCACTCGAGAACCTACTTCGTTGCTTGGTGGGTGACAACATTCGGAGTTGGACCAGCGCCTCAGCCAAGTAGTGTTCGCACATAATTCGGCTTCGAGCAAGGCCACGAGCTTCTAGCCCTTCCAAGTTGTTTACGTCGTACTGCCGCGCGGACCTTTGGACTTGGCGGCCTTGCCATCACCGGGCGGTGGTGATAGTCGTGCGGCGGAGTTCATCACGGAGTTGCAGCGGACCCATGCGGCGGCCCGGGCGCTTTTAGAAGCCTCCACGGCGTCTTATAAGAGACAAGCCAATCTCGTCATCGGCATGTGGAGTTTGAGGTGGGTGATTTTGTATAGGCTGTTTTGACTAAAGACCGGTTCTCTGCTCATGATTATAATAAATTGTCTGCACGGAAAATTGGTCCGATTGAGGTAATGGAGAAGATCAACCCCAACGCTTACCGTCTCCGACTGCCGTCACATATTCGTACTTCTGACATCTTCAACGTCAAACGTCTGGTCCCATTCTTTGGGGACAATTTTGACGGAGACGAGACCGGTTCGGATTCACGGTCGAATCCTTCTCAACCGAGAGAGAATGATGGAGATGAGACCGCAATAGAGTTTTGGAATAAATATGATCGCCTTCGTGTCTAGTTTATTTATTGTCTAGCATTAGTAGTCTTTCATTTTAGCCTTATTATTTAGACTCATTATGACTCTTGTTTTTATGTACTCTCTTCCTCTGCAGAAGAGAGCAGATTATTCATCGATCTGTTGTGGTATCATCCCAAGATCATAAACATAATTTGAGAGAAAAACAAGTTTCTATTACTCACAAGAATAAAACAAGAGATTTACAAACTCTAAACAAAAAACTCTCAAACACTCCACAACTCTTTCTTGGTTGTGTTTCAACACTCTCAAGGTTGATTGATCACTCAAGGATGATTTGAATGAATGAAATGATAAGCCTATTTATAGGAGAGAATTAGTACACCACCATTGACATGCATGTGTGGAAAAAAAAAAGTTTGGTGAAGACATCCTTTGAAGACTTCTTCAATCTTGTTCTTCCATGGTGTGCTTGTTCTTCATTGGTGGGCTTACATGTTGCATGGAACTTTCAATTCTCCCCTTTCCATGCAAATTCCGAACAAGCATTCTTACTATGTCTCTGCATAGTTTAAGCTTATCCAGTGTAACCACTTTTGTCAACATATCTGATGGATTCTCCTTCGTATTGATCTTCACTAGTTTCAACAGCTGTTGATCAATCTTCTCGCGTATCCAGTGATACCGAACATCAATATGCTTTGTGCGAGCATGGTACATAGAGTTCTTGCTTAAGTCAATAGCACTTTGACTATCACAATATACCTTGTACTCTTTCTGTTTAATCCCAAGTTCTTGGAGATAGCGCTTTAGCCACAACATTTCTTTACCAGCTTCAGCGGCTGCAATATATTCAGCTTCTGTTGTGGATAAAGCAACACACTTCTGCAATCTTGATTGCCAAGAAATTGCTCCCCCTGCAAACGTGTAGACATAGCCCGAAGTAGACTTTCGACAATCGATATCTCTGGCCATATCAGCATCAGTATATCCTTCCAAGACTGGATCAGCTCCCCCGTAACAAAGACATAACTTAGAAGTACCCTTCAAGTATCTGAATCCATTTGACAGCCTCCCAATGCTCCTTCCTGGGGTTAGAAAGAAAACGACTTACTACACCCACTGCATGAGCAATATCTGGCCTTGTACACACCATTGCATACATCAGACTTCCAACTGCTGAAGAGTATGGCACTGCAGACATCTCCCCCATCTCTTCCTTAGATGTTGGACATGATCTTTTGCTCAACTTGAAATGATTCGCAAGTGGAATACTCACTGGTTTGGCATCACTCATATTGAATCGTTCAAGTACTCGTTCAATGTACTTCTCTTGAGATAGCCATAACTTGCCGTTCTCTCGGTCTCGAGTAATCTGCATCCCAAGAATCTGTTGAGCCTTTCCTAAATCTTTCATATCAAAAGACTTAGAAAGTTCTTTCTTCAGCTGGCTTATCTTCTCTGCATCATTCCCAACGATCAACATGTCGTCGACGTACAGTAGAAGAACTATTAAAGCCCCGTTTGAGTATCTCTTGATGTAAACACACTCATCTGCAGTAGTCTTCTTGTAACCTTGACTCTTCATGCACGAGTCAAACTTCTTATTCCACTGCCTTGGTGCTTGCTTTAGACCATACAAGCTTTTAGATAGATTGCACACGAGGTTCTCACTTGAAACCTCAAAACCTTCTGGCTGCTGCATATAGATTTCTTCATTCAAATCTCCGTGAAGAAAAGTTGTCTT